TATTATTTTAGCAATTATGGCAAGACAATTTCTTTCAAAAGCAGTGACAAAATATTATTGATTTTCAGCTGTTAATTTCCACAATACAATATGATCATACTCATTTTCACTCTCACAGACAAATTCCATGCTTTCAATAGTACGTCATCTATTTCTCCATATACTGGTCTTCAAGATCATGTAAGAAATTTCTCAACACCACAAGCTCTTTTGTGTCATTTGATGTTTGAACCAATAGCCTTCAAAACTTTGATATTGTAACCAATCGGATGATCAAAATGCTGCAAATTTAATTAGTCTTCAAGACTGCTACTTTTCGGTGACATGATTCTTTATAAGTCTTCAAGGCCATAACAAAAATATTTTTCAATGCTATTTTTTTTCTTAATCCCATGAAATGTTCCAGTCATGAGCCTTCATGGCTATGGTGTTTATAGCAATAGACCTTTTATGGCCCTGTCATTTATGGGCATCGGACCCACAAATTCTTCTTTTACAGAACTATACAACAAAAGTGATATAACTTGTCATTTAATCACAAAACATTATCAGGAGCATTATGGTTGAAAATTATCAATAAAATATCAATAGATATCCAATTGAATATTATAGACATAAAAGAATAGAACTTTAGCTATTAATAAATGGAAAAAGTAGAAATATAGATATAGGATAAAATATAAGCATAACATAAAGTATAAGGATAAAAGGTAAATTCTTATACCTCAATTTGATGAATATGAATATTCAATTACCCATTAATTAACAAAATAGATACTCCCTCTGTTAAAAAATATAAGGTATTTTTAATTAAATCTCACCCCCAATAATGTAGTTACTTACTTTTAAACTAATCATATTTTTTCATATTTACTTCTATTAAACACTATAAAAAATATAAAGTCACTATCAATAAGGGCACTTTTGAAAAAAAAAAGGTAATAATTATACTTCAAAAGACTAAAAATGCTTTATATTTTTGAACCTCTAACTATTCAAAAAATGTCTTATATTTTTGAACGGAAGGAGTACCTTCTTAGGAATTGCAAGGCCATCATTCCCTCTTGACAAATTGGGAAAACTTTATTACACCATTTGGATTAAAATATCTTCATGCAATGAACAAAACTCAACAAGTATGAGCAAGATGCCATGAACTCAATTGGTTAGAATATCATATTGATAATGTGTTATGAAAATAAGAAGAGAGTAGGAAAAGAGAAATAGCAAGACAAGAAAAATTGGGAGAGAAAAAAAGGAAAGATGTATAATGCTTTGTATATGGCCTCTATTTACTTGCTTTCAACCATTAAAGTCTAACCTTAATATAATGTTGCAAAGGAATAAAAAAGGGCATAATAGTACAACATGTAACCTTTAAAGGTTATATCACATTAATCATGAGAAACTTCTTCTAAGTCATTTATTGAGAGGTTTTTGGAGATGAAGAATCCTAAGCATTAGGATTTAGGAGCATGCACATCCACTCATATAACATAATATTTATAATATTTAGCATAATATCGTTAACTAAAAATTAATGATTTTTCTTCATATGCTAAAATCTAAAAAAAAATGTTTTAACATTGGCAATCATTAAATTATATTTAATAATGATTGAAATTAAATAATAATGTTCAAAATTTAGAGACCTTTATAATTAAAGGTCATACCAATTTTAATAATTATATTCTCATAAAAAAATGATATATGAAACAGATTTAATTCTTTTCAAATTACTTATTAAAAAAATCATGAATATTTATAAGCATCGCTTGAAATCAAAATTACTTCAAAAATCTCAATTATTCAAAATCACAATTGCCTAACTCTAACTCAAATGATGGGCACTTAGAAGTCGTCCCAAGTGAATTTGAATACAACGACTCAATGAGAAAAGAATCAACGACGAGGCTTCTAAATATTGGAGGAAGAAGACTTCGTGGTCAAACAGCCATCTCTCCCCACATGTTACGCCTGAATTTATGCCAATACTTATTTCAATGGCGGCTCCAATTCAGCTTTCATCAATTTAAAAATTGTTGCATGTATTCAGTGTATCATGTCATTTGTATATTATTAAAAAAAATTTTACATACTTAAGATATTTGTTTGCAATTAAACCTAGAAATATGAATCCTTTATGCTATAAAAAAATTCTTATTATTAATATCAATATATTAAAATCCACTCATATCTTGATTTAATTAGATAAAAAATGTTAAATATATAAGGTTAAATACATAAGTCTTACATGTCAAAGTATATATACCATGTCAAATTTATTTAATATTATATATTAGGATAAAAGAGAAAATTGATCTCTAAATATTATGTCAAGAGGTGTCTAAAACCTAAACTCATTTTTAATGCAATGTTCTTCCTTAACTTTTAAAAATAGTGCAATATGATATTTACTGTTAACAAAAGTTAACTTTCATAGTTAATTAGTTGAGAAGAAAATAACATAAAATAACACTAAAAATTACTGAAGAGGAAAAACTCACAATAAATTAAATGACCTAAAAATTACATATAAAGGCTAAAAAATTACAGAAAAAAAAGAGACCAAGAAAATTTTACCATGCCTTTTTATTTTTATTTTTGTAATTTTTGATGGTTTTTTTTATTTTCTATTAAGTAACAGTCAAAGTTAAGTAGTTAATTTTTGTTAACAATAAAAGCTAGATTGCATCATTTTCAAAAGTTAAAAGGAAATATTTCACTAAAAATCAGTTTGGGGTCAATTTAGGGACCAATTTACTCTTTTACTCTACTCCCTCTAGTCCAAATTATAAGCAATTTTCCTTAGCTAATCTTGGTTCAAAAATACAAGCAACTAAGTACATGTAAAATAATTTTTCCCATTTTACACTTTGTATTTATTAATGTAGATTTTTGTGTAAATATATCTCTCACTTATTATAAAGTATATTGGTAATCAGGATTAGAAGTAAAAGAGAAAAAAATATATTTTTATGGGAATGGAAACTTTATTGGTATACAATTTTTTTTTCTTTTTAAAAAAGTTGTTTATATTTTGGACAAGAGGGAGTATATTTTATTCCACATTTATGTCACTTTAAATTATTTTAATTTTTTTCCCTTTTCCCCTTCCCCTCAATTATAATAATGGTAACAAGAAAAAATGTAAGAAGTTAAAGAAACATTTTATTCTAGGAAAAAAATTAAAAATAATAAAACATAAAAATTTATTTGATTGAAAAAGTGCAGTTTTACTGAATAGAGTATAGATGAGATGATATTCCTAATCATGCAAGAATTTTCTTTGATCAGTGTATCACATAATAATATGAATAATTGAATGTTATTCTTTCTGTATAATAGACAGAATAAGAAAGACAACATAATCATTGTAATGTAATGAAAAAATAATTCTCACTTATAATAATAGAGAAGCACACATATAATTTCACATAATCACTTTTTTCTTACAAAACTTCGTTCTCCCTTAAGCAAGCTGTGATTGCTTGTAATAATCAACTATCACATTTGGCTCCATTACTATTTGTTAGGCTTTTCAATATACCAACGATGCCCTTGATGCTCCGGTAAATGATGCCGCATTCCATGTTACCAAAGACAGTGCTGTTCAAACAATCTTCCCAGAACTTTCGCTTGCAAGATAAGTTTGCAAATATTTTGGGATCTTGGAAATGGAAATACAGCGGAAAATGATAAATAATATTATAACATAATATAATTTAAATTCTTATATATAATCAGTATATATATGTTAAATAATTATATAAATATTAAATGGATCATTGTTATACATATTTTATCTATCAAATAGAGTTCGAAATTTTTAATAATATTGTCTATAATTTTATTAATATATATTTTAAAAAGGATGCCTTAAATTTATATAATTAATCAAGTATAAAATTTAAATAATATATTTTACTTGTTAAATAAGTTGAACAAATTTAATAACATTATATACAACTTTATTAATATTTTAATTTTTAAAAGAAATGTCCTTTATAGTAATTTATACATTTAAAATTAATTCTAACAAAATCATCTAAATATTTTTAATTCTATTAAAATTAATTTTGAAAAAATAACATTCAACCATCATCACATTATAACACAATCAATTACACTCAAAATCAATTATATTAATAAATTATGTTCATAATTAATTATATCAATTGAAATCTACACAGACCCAAACTTCTTACTCTAGAAAGAAATTACTTGTATTGCAAGGCTTCATCTTTGTTGATGTTGACTAGAGTATCGTTTTATCTGAGGAGAATTTCAATAATGGACCAATTTAGAAAATTAATTTCATGTGAGTTCAAAAAAATTCTAAAATTTTAGTTTAGTTTAAGGGAGAAAAATTAAATGAATTTCGATAGTGAAATGATCAAAATGCCCTTAGCAAAATCACTAGTTGTAATTTTATTACTTCACTTATTAATTTATGAATATAATATGCAAATTACATGAGCTGACATGTCAATAATTATATAAAATTTAATATCAATTTTTCAATTGTAAGCAGTAATATAAGTTGTTAAATTGCTGATTTTACTTGTTAATTTACTAACATCAGTTGTAAATTATTGACAAGTTTTGTAATTTACTAACATCAATTATAAATTATTAATAAGTCTTGTAATTTATAACTGATGTAAATAAATTAACAAGTTAGTAAATTAATAACTAATATTACTAATGATAAATTAATAAGTAGAATAAAAAAATTAATAATTAATAATTTTGTATGACAAGTAAAAGGTGTTTTAGTTTTTTAACTATTGAAATTAATTTTTTGTCGTGGTCCACAATTGGAATGCTTCCTTTTATTTATTTATGGTCAAGCAGACCTAAGACTTTGAAGTAGTCATGTGTCATCATTATTCAACAATTCACTTCAAATGCTATCTCTAATCTTAAACATTAAGATCTCCACAAGACACGTTTCTTTTACTTTTCCACACTGCAAACACCATAAATATCGTCTTTCTCTTCTTCCCTCCAACCCCCCCCCCAAGCAAACCAATACCTCTTTACAATAGAGATTATATATTCACACCCATAAACATGGTTTCTGTTACAGCTTCTCTCTTGTTACTACCTCTCTTGCTTATTTCTTCTTTCATTGAACAATCCTCAGCGGCCGGAATCGCCGTTTACTGGGGCCAAAACGGTAACGAAGGCTCCCTCGCCGACGCATGCAACACCGGCAACTACCAATTTATTAACGTTGCTTTCTTGGCTGTCTTTGGCAATGGCCAAACCCCACAACTGAACCTCGCCGGCCACTGTGACGGCACAGCGAGCACCTGCTCCGGTATAGGCAATGACGTCAAAACTTGCCAATCCAAAGGCATCAAAGTGCTTCTTTCCCTCGGCGGCGGCTCCGGCGGCTACTCTCTTACTTCTGCCGACGACGCCAACCAGGTCGCCAACTATATCTGGAACAACTTCCTCGGAGGAAGTTCCAACTCACGGCCATTGGGAGACGCCGTTTTGGACGGTGTTGACTTCGACATCGAGGCCGGCGACGGGCAGCACTGGGACGAGCTTGCCAAAGCTCTGAAAGGGTTAAACCAGCAATTGATCCTCTCCGCCGCGCCGCAATGTCCATTCCCAGATGCTCACCTGAGTACTGCGATCAACACAGGCTTGTTCAATTATGTTTGGGTTCAATTCTATAACAACCCTCCATGCATGTACACCAGTGGGAACATTAACAATCTTTTGAGTTCATGGAACCAATGGAACACTGTGCAAGCTGGTCAGGTGTTCTTGGGAGTTCCGGCATCTTCGGCGGCGGCTCCAAGTGGTGGGTTTATTCCGGCCGACGTGATGACTTCTCAAGTTCTTCCGGCGATCAAGGGCGCCGCTAAGTACGGCGGAGTCATGATCTGGGACAGGTTCAACGATCTCCAAAATAAATATAGCGACGCCATTAAGGGTTCTATCTAAAGAACTCATTGTTATAAGTCCTTTGAATAAGTAGCAGCTGGTTGATAGGCTTGTTCCTATGTAATGATGCTACATGAGTGAAATAAAAATTTCTTTATGTAATGGATGAATTTGGAATTTGGAATTAATAATGAAATACGTAAACTATTACAACATTCATGTGGATCTGAGTTCTGATATTACAGTTTACTTCCTCCAATCTAAAATGTAAGTATTTTCTCTCAACTAATTTTAATTTAAAATATAAGTAACAAAGTACATGTAAAGAAATTGTTTTCATTTTATCCCTTATATTTATTAACCTAAATATTTGTGTAAACATATCTTTGACTTATCATAATTGAAAATAAAGAAAAAAAGGAAAAAAAGAAAAAATAATATATATATATATATATATATTTATGAGAATGAAAACTTTATTGGTATGCAAATTTTTCTTCAAAAACTACTTATATTTTGAAATGGAGGAAGTATTTTAAATAAAGTTGTCCTTTATTTAAAATATCTGTGTGTGAAGCCATACAAAATGTTTTGCTATTTTTCCGCACTAGTTACAGTTCATTTCTACCACTGATTAATTACTTGCCCAAAAATATATGAGCATTTAATTGGACATAAACTGAATGAAACTTAATTAGGTCATACCAAATATTTTATTTCATTCATGAAGTTCAAGATCTTTTCTTTCTTTTTTCTTTTTCTGTTTCTTTTGGTGAAAAGAAGTCCATTTTTTTTAAAACCTTATTGTTCATGGAGTATATATTAAGGGAGCACATTCGGTCCTCATTACTTCTGAAACGATTTGGACCGTATAGTTAAATTAGGATGGTCTAGATTTAAATATTTTCATTTTCATTTTTTATTTTTATTAAAATAAAAATTTTTAAAATTTTTAATAAATATCTTATTTATCAACATGTACAGTTCATATTTAATCAAGTCAGTCCAAATTTAATATTAATTTTTTATATTTTTATAAATTGACCATACAGATTTATTTTGGATAGTTCAAGTTCAAAACTATTAGCTTAAAAAAGTTTAAAAAATTGGGAATAGTCAATTAGGAGATATCTTTATTTAATATTTTATTTATCAAAACAAAATTTTATAAAAATTAAAAAAATTAATATTAAATCTAGGCTATTTAGGATAAATTTGGATAGTTAATTTATAAAAATTATAAAAAAAATTAATATGAAAATTGAATAATCTAAATAATCCAGATGAGTAATGAACAAACATATTTATATATTAACAATTTTATTTTAATAAATATAAAATAAAAACTAAAATATAGGGGCAATAGGAAGGGGTAGGAATAGGCCAGGCCCTATGCCCTTACCTACTTTAAGCACAGGTTAGCCTATTTACTAAATAAACTCATGCTAGTTTCAAGCCTTTAACTAAGCCTATTTAGTTAAATAGGTCATGCTTAGTCTACAAGCTTAACAGGCTGGCCTATTTACATACACACACATTATGTAATATATCGCGCGCGCACATTAGTTTCATCATTTAATTTTTAATTAATCTATTCTTTTTTATTTCTAGTATGTTTTCAATTAGATTGGATTGATATATATATATATACTATATTATATTATTACTTTATTATTGTATTATATTGTAGTTAATAAGTCCTTTTAATTATTATTTATTGTAATTAATAAATCAAGCTATACATTTATACTAATAGTCATAAAGTATACTTGAGATGTTTAAAATTAAAATGTGAGCTTATTTAAAATAATTACTTTTAAATAGGCTTTTAGGTCAGGCCAAACTTTAGGTAAGCTTAAGCCTAAGCCATAAAAAAAGCCTTATACAAGTTTCTAGTCATGCTTAGGCTTCTAACTTACTACACAAGTTCAAGTATATTTGGCCAAAGTTTAACTCAGCTTAGTTTATTTTCACTCCTAGGTCTCTTTACTTCCCTTATCTCCTTTTCCCCTCTATTTCTTCAAAACAATGTTGTTTAGGTTAGTAGTGAAATCTTCATCATCCATTTTGAGCTACAATCTTGGCCGTCTGTGTCGTTTTCTCATCTCACGACTCCGTCTCTCTATCATTGCTTCGCTCTCCTCCTCTTCCCCGCTCTCCTTCTCTACCGACTCAATATTCGGTTGTTCGTGTGCTTAATCATTAGAGGGAGGATCCGGTCACCTTCGAAGATTGGCTGTCATGGCCCATATTTGGGATTTTCTGTTGAAGGCGATTTCATTACTGTAAGGACTGAACAATCTAAAGCTTCTACTTCTTTTTCCCCATTTTCTCTTTCATTATCAGTTAATCTTGCCTAGGCTATTTTTGTGTTTTCTGTTCTATTATATTTATGCGTGTGAAGTAAGAATTAGATTTGACTAATATTTTTTATTTCATTTCATCATGTTCTTTCTTTTTTTCCTAAAATCATTTCTCTGTCCCTTTATATCGGATTTATATAAGGAGGGTATCTAATTCAAACATGTGGATAGTTTGTCATGTTTCTTGCATTGTTTTACAATTGACTTGTATGTCATCTTTTTCCTTTCTCATATAACTTTATAGAAAAGTTTAGAGTCTGGATCCACTTGCTTGATTTCATCATTTACAGAAAAATGGGGTCATTTACCATTTATTTATTAGGAGTAATATACCTGTTTGGGTCTAGGGATGTGTAACCCTGAAGTAGTTACTAGGATTCTTTCTTATGACATTGATATTAAATTATTGGTTTTTGTTTGAAGTGTTTTTAGTCATTTCCCTGGGATTTTGTTATTGCACCACATCACCAAGTTTACATAAATAGACTGTCCCGACCATAGTGATTGTAGTTCGCATCAATGGCTCTAGGTAGGTCATTAGTGTAAAAACCTCCACTTCTTAAACATATAATTAGCGCATTCTTAATCTTAAAGTAAAGTTACCATGATATTTATAACTAATTTAATAATAATAGATGTCATAGCATAAAAGGATCAACCTTGACTGTTTGAAAACTCAAGGTTAAGTAAGAAAATTTTGTATAAATGAAGTCATATAAATCATTTAATCTCAAAATCAAAATTAGAATGTCATTTAACCAATATAAACACTACTACAAAAAAAGGAATAAATGATGATTATTTTAGTCCATAAATGGCGGTTGATAAGTATCATTTATTCTGCTGACATTTAATGACTACCAATAAATGACAGTTATAAAAACCGTCATTTAAAATAAAAATTTTACAGAGGGAGAAGCAAAATGAGATTTTAAATGATGGGTAAATAAGATATCCATCATTTAAATGATATAAACGACGAGTATATAACTTACCCGTCATCTAAAGTCACTTCATTTAAATGACGGGTATCTTATTTACCCGTCATTTAAAGTATGATAATATTTTGAACTAGACTTTAAATGACGGGTAAATAAGATACCCATCATTTAAAGTCAGTATAAATGATGGGTATATTTGTTACCCGTCATTTATTTTAGTATAAATAACGGTTATTTATATAACCATTATCTTTTGTGTGGTTTTTTTTAAATACATGATCTGTTTTTATACCAACCTCCTGCAAAAAGAAATCAAAATAGCAGCAGCCAATCATTTTAGATTTGAATATCAATGAAATTTATTGTATTCAATTTCAAAATTATTCAATAAACAAATATAATTACATAAAGTAAACTTTTTTCAAAAACAAACTACCTATTAAAAAAAATTCCTAGCTACTTCTTTAAAGTAGTTCTATTGATCTTCTTTGTATGAGGTCCACACTTGAAAAATGTATTGACACCATTCTTCAATTACCTCATTTATTTCTGCATCCTTAAATTCTTCAACATAAGAATCATCATAGTACTGCAATATATAAATGATTCACCATATATTAATATAATTTTAATACATTAAATATTTTTATAATTTAAAAGTTAATATTTTTGACATACTATCTCGAGAATTATGCTCTCGTTATGGATAATGATGTCTTTCATGAACTCATGATGTAATAACCACAATCCAAGCTATTTTTCTTTTGTCTTGGACACTAAAAGTTAAAAAATATATGAATATAAATTAATGCATTAAATTTTAATTTAATAAATGATTTCAATTACCTTAATTATATTTCAAGCGTAGGCCGCATCAAAATTTGTAAAGGACCTTGGAATTGATTGTTTTGTGTTAGTGCGGTATAACACAATCGCCCTAATGAAATAATAAAAAATATGTTAGTATAAAATTTAAATAATTAAATGAATATGTAAAATACTTTATGTACTTACATATTAATTAACTTCAATAAAATTTATCTCTTCCCTAGTCCCCTTCAAGAGAATCGAGATAATATATCTTTAGAGTGTTGTCGAATGGTTTGGTAGTGATCAACATTCAATTGTCCCTAAAAGTATTACCAAGTGTCATAAAATTATAATTAATCCATTAAATTAAAAATAAAAAAATTATTAAGATAAATGAGAATTTCGTTACCTTTGACAGTATGGTATTATAAATAATGTTCCCTTTCGAGCCCTTGCTTTGAAATTTTTACTTAATGCCTTTGCTTGTTCTAAAATTTTGTCGCTTTTAATTAAGGCATGTGCACCCACTTCATGAGGACTAACGAAGATGAACTTCATTTATAGATCGAAAGGGACAGCAAATTTGTCATTCAAGCACCTATTATAAATACAAGAAATGGATTAGTTTATATTTAAAATATTAACTATTCATATATGGAAAAAAATTACTGTATGTAGAAGTTGAGAATAGTGAGACTGGTCATATCATGTTGAAGTACTGTATCAATAACATCAAGCGAAAGCATATCATATCGGTCTTTACCATATATACTAGTCTCGAATGCAATTTGCAGGACTAAAGGATTAGACCTATGTACCGTTGCATATGCTTGGAGCAAATTTTTGTGTTGGCTTGGCAATTAAGGCTCTTGTTCAGGCACAGCTTTATGGGAGACTGCCTTTTTAGAGGAGAGCCTAGATCGAGGTATCATCTTTTTTTTTTTGAATGTACATCTTTACTAGCCTTTTTTAGACTTGGCATCCTAACTTGACTAGCTTGCCATCCAACAAAATTACCCATAGCCTTTTTTGTTGTTTAATTCATGCATATCCTATGCGGCCTTTCTTGTAAGGGTATAGATCTTTCTCATGCAACTCTTTCT